TGGTGCCAAGACTGTTGACTGTGGAGCCAAGCAAACTAAAGCTGTGTACAGTCTCAGTCTCTTCACCATCCATCCTGATGCTGCCAATTGGTCCAGTGGTGAGAATCTTTGTCTTCTTGACATTGAGCCTCAATCCATATTGTAGGCTGCAGCTTCTTAAATTATTTTCTCAGCATACAGACTGAACAGGTATGGAGGAGGATAGAACCGTGGCACACACCTTTCTTATTTTAAACCACACAGTGCTCCCTTGCTCTCTCCAGACAGCAGCTTCTTGGTCTAGGTGTAGGTTTTGCACGAGCACGATTAGTGTTCTAGAATTCCCATTCTTCTCAATGTTAGTCATAGTTTATTATGATCTAATAGTCAAATGCCTTTGAATAGTCCATAAGACACCAATATACATTTTTCTGGTATTCTCTACCTTCAGCCAAGATCTATCTGACATCAGCAGTAATATGCCTGGTGCTATGGCCTTTTCTAAACCCAACTTGAACATTTGATGGTTTTCTATGTACTGTTCTAGCTGGTCTTTTATTAAGCAATATTTTGCTTGCATATGATATTAATGATACTGTCTGTTCACCTTTCTTGGAAATGGGAACAGATGAGGAGCTCTTCCAGTCAGTTATCCAGGAAGTTGTCTTTTACATTACCTGGTACAGACTGTTGAGCACATCCAGGGTTGCATCTGTTAATGGAAACATGCCAGTTGGTATCCCGTTGATTCCTGGGGCGTTAGTTTTTTTCCATGCCTTCAATGCAGTTTGAACTTCTTCCTTTCTTAGCATTGGTTCTTACCATATGCTGTAAGAAGAGCAAGAGCCACATGGGGATAGCCAGGTCTGACTTTTACCGTCTTCACAAAGGGAAACTATCACTGTCAACAGCATCAATAACACAAAACCAATTCTCATGAGATTAGATATCTTCCCCCATGCTCCCATGCCTCTTTCCACTCATCTCAACACCAATCTTACTGCTTTTATGGGTCCAGACTCCAATATGATAGCTCACAGGCCACACAAAACCATATTAGGGAAGTCAAAGGTTATAATCCATATTCATAACAAAATACAGTTAAGACAGCTCCTGATATGTGCACACAGACACCTCAGCCTTGAGCCTTGGGGCTCGTAAGTGTTCCCAAGTTCTCAGTCCTGCCAATATTTGCTTCCCATCCCCAATATTCCAGCACGCCTAGAAAAGTCCTATTGAAAGATAAACTCCATCTATGCTATTTCCTGAAATAGTGTCAACCAGTTCTTTCTGGTACAATGACCCTGTAGTCCCTCAAAGCAAATTATATAATAAATGAAATGTGCTGGAATTGGAGGGGGGAAAAGGGAAGAACTCGCTTGTCATTTTTCAAGTTGAAAGAACTGGAAAACAAATTCAAGCTTCAAGTAGCAATACTGGGAGATGCTATGGGCAAAAAATCTTGAATGATCCAGGAAGCATCAAAAAAAGGTGGAAAGAATACACAGAATCACTGTACCAGAAATAATTGGGTGGTGGGATCAGTACCTCAATCCTGGCATGAGACCTGTAGCCTCCTCCTGGCCTCAGAGCAGCCCCCCTCATGCTTTGGGTGACCTGCCCCATCCTACCCCACCATCTGGAGCCCACATAGGTCCCCATACTTCACACATACAGGACATGGGTGTAAGCACACCCCAGCCAATGCCAACAGGGTACCTGGCATGGGGAAGGTGGGTACTAGGCCTGGCAGAGTCTGCCTGGCCCCACAGCATTCAAGAGTGGCTGGTCCATGAAAGGCCCATCCTGTACAGCACCACCTGCTGTGTGGTCACTCAGCCTCAGTTAGAGCTGATGTCTGGAACTACTGGATGCACCCGGACACAGCTGCCATGATGGGAGCTGCTGAAGGGAAGACAGGGCAATAATACCTGCTCCTCTCAAACCAGATAGACCTACGTCAGAGCCCTGGACAACAAAGTGTCTGCCCCTGGGAAGGGTCTCGGACCTGAAAGGAGATCATGGCCACTTCTCTGAGGCTAAGTGGTGTCCGAGTCTATGGGTGTGCTGTGCCCGCACTGCCTGTAATCCGGGATCCTGAGCTGTGGGCTGCGGGCAGCGTGTTGAGGGGTCATCCCCATGCTTGCCAGTGCTCAAGCAGGGCCAGTCACAGCAGCTGGGCCCGAGAGGCAGGGGCTGGACCAGGGGAGAACCTCGACTCCGGCCGCAGTTATACAGGAACTGACCCACAGAATGTTGAATCATTATGGAGCATCACTCTCCCATCAAAATGCTGTTTTCTGTCCTTGAACTTGGGGCCAAGCTCCAAGGAGGACGGCGGAAGGTCAGGATGGGAGAGCCAGCCACCAGCTCCAGCGGTCTGACCTCTAGCTCCTTCCCGGCTGCGTGGGCTGCGTCTTCCATCTCCCTATCCTGTTCTCTCCAGGGCTCACCTGAGTCCTCCTTCGGCCTTTGCACTTGCTGCCCACTCCTGATCCCAGAATGCTGGAACACTTGCTCTCTATCAGACTTCTAACCAGCCCTGAAGGCCCATGGACGCTCGCATATCTGCCTGCCTCCCCCAGGGCTGCCCTCAGTTAGAGTGCCATGGGCCCCCTGGGGAACCTGGGACTGGAGATGTGGAGGAACCAATGTGGAGAGAAGGTGGGCCAGGGCAGCCCTGCTCCCTGCTGTGTTGGGGGTGATGGCAACATTGCAGCCCCCACAGTGGCATCCAGGACCCTGTCCCCAGGTCTCCTTCAGCTGAGGCTGTGCATGTGAGAGTGGTGAGACTGAGATGTGCCTCGTCACTGAGTCATGGAGGCAAGGGAGGTGGGCCAGGATCTCAGCAGTCGTGTATCATACCCAGGCTGCCTAGGAGGAAGTCAGAGCCACAGGGAACTCCTCTCTAGAAGCACACAGGCCCAGTCACCTCATCTTTGTTCCCCTCACAGCAGCAGGCCTAACTCTGAGCAGACAGAAACTGCGGCCAGCAATAGGACATCACCAGCTGCACAGTCCAGGCCCTTGGTCCCCACCTGCCAGGACAGCTCCAGCTTTCAGGGTACCCCAAGCCCAGCAAACCCCATCCAACAGTGACCCATCTAAGTGTGAAGCCAGCAGGAGCACCTAGCGGGACCTGGCACAGAGGCACAGGGAGAGGCTGTGCTTGCCCCACCCCACCTCCATGTGGAGCTTCCACACGGTTCAAAGCTATAGGGACCCCAGGTGTGGAGCCTAGCCCTGCCCCACCTGCCAAGCCTGGATCACTGTCTGGAGCCTGGCAGCCCTACTGGCCCCAAGCCTGGTCACAGGTCAGAGAATGTGTAGGGTCCTCAGAGAAGTCCACTGGTGTTTGTGAACAAAGCTTGCTCTACCATGGTTATAGTGGGTCACCAGGCAGAGCAAGGCCAGAGGGGACAATCCAAGAGTCAAGGCTAGAGGGGGCTCTGGGGTTCCCCCCACCAAGGCACAGGCATCCATCCTTGCCCCCTCCCCTGGTGCAAGGTTTTGCAGGTGAGGACCCCAGTCAAGCCATTAGACATTATAGTTTATTTCAGACAGCCTCCAGGCAGAATTGGGGTCCCTGCAATTAACAAACCTGATGCCCATTTTCACTCTGGAAGACCCCATCCTCACCACCTCCAAGGGGTCAAAACCAGAGCTGACTTGCAGGGCCCCTCCCTGCACAGTGCCGTTGCTACTCTACCTGTTATTGCATTTATACGCTTGTGGGGTTTGGAGGGTGTCAGGCAGCAGGCGGGGCTTCTGGCCCTGGATAACTGCAGAGCAGGGAGGTGGCTCCAGGAAGAGTTGGAGCTCTGGTCTTGAGACGCACCCCAGGCTGGAGGTCAACTGGAAGCCCCCCCCACCACACACATACCAATCTCAGAACACCAACAAACGGGGGGACAGGGATAGGGGTGAGCAGGGACACCAAGAAAGGACATGACACCCACTGTAGCCCCAAGCAAAGCACAAGGCCCAGGGCCCAGGTCAGGCTCGAGAGCCCCACCCTGGAGCACTGGCCCCCGTGGTGATCGCCACAGGAAACCCCAGCCAGGCTGTCCACAGTGTCCAGTCCTGCCTTCCAGGGCATGAGGTCAGGGCGGCCCTGAGCCACACTCTCTGGGGGCCTGCGGGGGCCTGTCCCTCTGAGGCTGCCTGGGGGGGGCACACACGGAGGCGGGGTCTGTGTATGAGTGAGCCTGCTGCACGCGGAGGGAGTAGACACTCATGAGCCAGTGTCCCATCTGCTGGGGCCCAGGAGCCCCTGGGAGCACAGCATCACTTTTTCCGGGCCAGAAAGGCCATGCCAAGAACTAAGGCCACAGCCGCTATGGCCACCCCGCCAGCCACCAGCACGGGGGTCAAGTTCTCCAAGGACCAAGGCCCTCGGCCCTCAGGGCCTCTGCTGCTGGCCTCCTCCTCCTCGGCACCATCCCCAGGACCCTTTGGCTCTGGTGTGACATCGGGGCTTCTGGGGGCTGCTGGGGCCACTGGGGTCGGCTTCAGGTTGCTGTGGTTGTTAAGGAGGGTGGGGTCTGCCTTGGCTGGGGTCTTCTTGGGGGGCACTGGGGTGGGGGCCAGCTGCTCTTGCTTTTCAGCTGGGATCTCCTTCTTCCCTGACTTGGCAGATGCAGCCCCATGGGCTTTCCCTTCAGCAGCAGAGGGACCCTTGGTTTCCGCAGGGGCTGAGGGCATCTTGGTGTCCGGCTTGGGGCTGCTGGTCGACTTCCCTCTGGACTCCATGGTGGACAGTGCTGGGGGCTGTGGGGGCTCTGCAGGCAGGAGAAGGCTGTCAGGTGTCAGGATTTCAGGACAGCCTGGCCGTGGGCAGTCTGTGGGGTCTGTAAGGGAGACAGGAAGGCCTGGATATAAGCACCCTTTTTATGGCCCTCACCCTCTTGCTTCCATGAAAGCACCCCAGATCTGACCAGCTGACCCTCCAGGAGCTCAGGAGCTGGCCTTGTCCCTCCGACAGCATCCAAAGAGGCCCCTCCCTGCAAGTCCTCAGCTGTGGGCTGCACGTATATATGCACACACACATGTAACCCACGGAGCACCCATGGCCAGGGAAACTCCCATTGGCCCTGAGAAATAGGGTCTGCAGGAAAGGGGAGGCTGTCCAGCCCACACACCAGGGAGCCCTCCTGACAGTGCTGCTGCTCAGAGCCTGGCCACTGTTGGCTGGGGGACAGAGCAGGCTACATGTTGAAGGCCATTCTCTGGGTTGGTCGGGTGAACACAGGGGATGAATCCAGCACCAGAGAGTAGATGCGGCCAGGCTTCCACCCAGATGCCTGTCCCCTCAACCAGCCTCACCTGCCTCCCAGCCTCTCAGCTTAAGGCTGCATTTGCCTTGGGGTCAAAGGAACCCTTGGTGCCAGCAGTACAGGTTGATGAAGTGGGTCTGGACGAGCAAAGGGCCTCCAGACTCATGGGTGGGGGTGGGGAGGCCAGGAAGCTGACGTCCTCGGCCTGGATGGATCTCCCCTTGGTAAGCTGGCCACTTCTCTGGAAGAATAGGAAACTCCCCCACTGCACAGTTAAGGGAGCAGTGTGGGGCTGCAGTACAGTGACCCCCACCTCAGGCCGGGGAGCTGACTACACTGAAGGTCACCTGAAGGTCACAGTGATAAGGGCGCCTGGTTGACGGGTTCCTACAGCCCCCGGCGTCTCAGCCGAACCATCACTCCCACAGACCCTCACAGGGACAAGATCTGCCAAGGGCAGAGTCTGTTTCACCCTTCCTCCCAGTCTCTAATTTTTAGAATCCACAGTGACATCACCTCATGCCCCCTTCCCTACTCTACTCCCCAGCCACTCAGCTCTGGAGAGCAAAGGGCCTGGCACCCACAACCCCAGTGACCTTCAGGCCTGGAGCGCTGCGACCTGGTCCCGATCTTGCAGGGCACTGCGGGAACCTCACCCTCGTCCCCCTCGTCCACTCCCTCTAGCTGGTCGAAGACCCTTACTCTGTCCTCCCGTGGGCTTCCACCTTGCGCTGATGCGCTTTCCCAGCTGACAGCAAGCGGGCGGTGGCGGCTGCAGACGCCGAGAACTTGGGAATTTCCCACAATGCACTGCAGCTAGTTGCAGGGAGGAGGACCAGCGGGGGAGGGGTAGTGAGTGGCAAATGAGACGCGGACCAGCCGACTCCGCCCTCGCAGCAAAGTGGAGCCTGTACTGCTGTGGACTCTCCAAACCCAGGGCACAGCGTGCGTGCGTGCGCGTGCGTGAGAGGGATGGAGGGAGGGGGAGGGAAGGGGGGAGGGAGGGAAGGAAAAAGACCTTACTCCTAACTCCTGGGCTTTGGAGGTTTGTTAATAGACACGTGTGGGTAGCAGTGCGCCCTGGTGATGCAGTGCGTGATGTCTGGGGTTGCTAATAAAGGCCAACAGGTGGAATCCATCAGCTGCTCTGAGGGAGAAACCGAGCAGCCTGCTCCTGGATTTTTCAACCTCTGGGTTGGATGGTGTCTGCAGGTCCAAACCAACTTGAACGACAACGACAACGATTTGAGTTTGAGGTGGATCAGAAGAGCCGTGGTGGTGCAGTGGGTCTTTTTCAGCTGTCAGGCAGGGGAACAAATCAGCTGACCTGTGGGAGGTGAAGCAATCTGCTGTGAAGATCGCGGCTTGAAACCTAAAGGACAATTCTGTACTGCAGACCGGTTATTGGCTGGATATCCTAGCAGCTCTGATGGCCTAATGTTAAGGAGCAACACTGCAACCCCAAGCCACACGGGTCGAGTCCAGGAGACGCTTGCTCCATGAGAGAAAGGTGGGCAGTCTCTTCCAACGCAATTTAATGCTCTGCAAACACACTGCAGGGTCAGCCAAGGGGCACTTCTGATTCAATGACACACAAAATCATCATTCATACTACATGCAAGTAACATCTTGCTCAAGATTACTTAAAAAATGGCTGGAGGTGTATTTTAACAGAGAATTGGAAAATAATTTTTTTTAGAAAAGAAAAAAACAACAACAACAGAGAATTACCAAAAATTCAAGCTGGATTCAAAAGAGGCAATGGAATGAGGGGTATCATTGTTGATTTTAACAGTTCTTGACTGAACGCAGAGAAGCTCATACTATTCCCTGGTATTTTAAGGAGTAGGCCAAGGCGTTCTACTGTGTAGATGATAGTGAGTTATGAACAACATTGGGAGGAATGGAAATCCCAGAACACGTCCTTGTGCTCAGTGGGACCTGTACGTGAACTTAAAATCAATTGTTCAAAGAGAAGAATGGAATACTATATGGTTGAAATCAGCAAAAGGGAAGGCATGCGGTTCGAATCCACCAAATGCTCCACAGGAGGAGGGGGCAGTTTCCTCCTGTGTCAACTGGATCTGACTTGACCGTACACAAGGAAAAAATAAAATCAGCAAAAGGGTGGGCAAGGTTGTATCCTTTTTCCATACAAGTTCAGTTTATGTTTTTATTATGTGCTGTTGGTCATCTGCAATTCATAGTACAATAATTCTGTATAATAACCCTCTGCACAATTAACTCTGAACCCACCCCTGTCCTGAGCCAATCTCATTGTCTCTGACACATCCATCCTCAATACCCCAGTTACAGTGTCAATCCATCTCATCCAGGGTCTTCCTCTCCTGCGCTATCCCTTCCACGCATAATGTCCTTCTCCAAGGACTGGCCCCTCCTGGCCACATGCCCAAAGTATGTGAGATGGATCTTCAAAATCCTTGCCTCCAAGAAGCAGCTTGGTTTCACCCTCTCCAGGACAGACCTGTTTGCTCTCTTAGTGATCCATAGTAGGTCCAATACTCTTCTCCGGCACCGCACATCAATGGCATTGATTCTGCTACTGTCATCTTTAGCTATTGTCCAGCTCTCTGATGCATAGCAAGTTATTGTGAATACCATGGCCTGGAGCAGGTGCACCTTAGTCTGTAAGGTGCTCTTGAGCACTTTGGGGAGGTCCCTGACAGCAGATTTTCCTAAGGCAATCAGTCTTCTTGATTTCCTGACGGCTAGGGTCATTATTCAATTTATATGCTATTGTTGTTGTTAAGTGCCATTGAGTCTTAGATGACTCATAGAGACCCTATGAACAAAAAACCTGAACACTTGTATAACTTTCATCGTTTCTCCAAGTTCATACAGTTTCTGGAGGCAAGCTATTTTGGAAGTAGATGCCACTCCTGCTTCCAAGCTTGTTTTAATTTATATGTCGAGAGGAAAAGAATCCAAGATGCTAGATTATGGGAAGAATAATATCTAACCAGGCTTAGATCAAGACTTTTCAACAACTTTGCACAAGCACATTGCACACGCTTGCTCACAGAAAGAGGACGTAAAGGATTTACTGAAGATAGGACTCATGTTATTAAAAAAAAAAAAAAAAAGGACTAAATATTCATATGAATTATATTTCAATGTCAAGACCACAAAAAGTCTAACACTTGGTTGAAAAGGCAACATCGTTACTGACAAGAGAAAAGATTGAAATTATGAAGATTTTCACTTTCCTTGGGGCCACAGTTAACAGTCGTGGACTGTGGAAGCTGTAGTCCGAAAGTCAAAAGATCTTTCTACAGAGATGGCCCTGAGAGTGAAGAGGGAGACCCCAGTCCCTCCCAAAACTGGAGCTGAAGTGAAGGCTGAAGGGGGTCCATGGCCACAAACAAGAGAAGATCCGCAAGCTGCCCATCTTTAGCTTACCCCCCTTCAGGCAGCCAAAGACACTCCAAAGGCAGCCCAGGTACCTCCGGAAGAGCATCCCCAGGAGAAACAAGCCTGACCACTATGCCATCACCAAGTCTCCCCTGACCACTGAGTCAGCCATGAAGACAGAAGATAACAACACACTTGTGTTCATTGTGGATGTCAAGGCCAAGAAGCACCAAATCAAACAAGCTGGAAAGAAACTCAATGACATTGATGGGTCAAGGTCAACACCTGATGGAAAGAAGGCCTCTGTTCAACTGCTCCTGACTAGGATGCTTTGGATGTTGCCAACAAAATTGTGATCATCAATCCCAAAGACAGTTCGAATCCACCAGATGCTCCACTGGAGGAGGGGTGATGTCCTCCCATGCCAGCCGGACCCTATTCGACAGTACACAGGGGTGGAGGGGCAGGAAGCTCAAAGTGAAAAAAAAAATTGGATCATCCAAACTGAGTCCAGCTGGCTAATTCAAATACAAATTTCTCTCTCTCTCTCTCTCACACACACACACACACCACCACCACCACCACCACCACCACCACCACCAAAAGCCAAAAAGAAGTTGAAAGATGTATTGCACTGGAAATATCTACTATCAAAATCTTTCCAAAGAAGTGCTAAAGAGCAAGGATGTGAGTGTGAAGAACAAGGTGCAGCTGATCCAACTAGTCATTTCCTGTGCTTCATATTGCAAAGCTGAACAATGCATAAAGAAGGCCAGACAAGAGTTGATACCTTTAAAGTGTGGTGTTGGTGAGATAACTGGACAGCGTGCTAAAGAACAACCAATGTGTCCCCAGGCCAGCTGAAATGCGCCAGGAGACTTGGCTTCATATGCTGAGGGTTTGTTGAAGGAGACTTGGCTTCATATGCTAAAGGTTTGTTGACAGGAGGGACTAGTCCCAGGGAAACAATGTCCTGCTCAGAAAGGTCAGAAGAGAGGAAGGCTCGTGGGCTGCAGTGACCGTAACCTCCCCAGTAGGCTCGAGCATGAAGGCTGGAAGGACGGGACAGGCGCACATCACCACTGGCTCCCAGACCCGACTTCTTGTTCCATGGAGATTGCAGGTGAGAATGGCTGGAGTGGCCTGGCCCACCTGCCTGAACCTGCAGAAGGCAGTCTGCCAAGCTCTCCCCACCAGGCCTGAGCCCCCCTCAACGGGCACGAGCCAGAGCCGCTGAGGTCCCTCCACCCACCCCATCACCAAACAGAAGCCTAGAAAAGCAGTATCTACTTAGAATATTTATTTATCCTCTTACATGACAAGACACAAAAAGTCATTTCATAAAACTCTTCAAAAGAAAAAAAATAGAATTCTGTAAGCAGCAGCTTCCAAGGTTCCAGGAGACGGGGATAGTGCCTCCTAGGGACAACTGTGAGGCCCAGGTAGTGTCACTGAGGAGGGGTCAGAGGAGCCTGGGGGACAGAGCACCACCACGCAGGGTCAGTCACCAACACAAACACTCGAGGCCGCTGGAGCCTGCGCGTCACAACACGGCTGGGTCTGGGGTGGGGCGGAGCTTTCTGGAGTGTAGTCAGGGGCCTGCAAGAGGCCGAGAGGAGGGTGGACCCTGGGAGGGACCCAGCAGCAGAACTGAAGCCTCATGCTCCACGCGGTCCTTTAGCCTGTACTTCCTCCCATGGAAAGTCAGACCTGGGGGGTCTCAGGGAGGAGGGGCCGCAAGAGAGGTGGAGCTGGAGTTGATCCTGGACGGTCAGCAAAGATAGAGACACATATATACACCCCCCCCCCCCCCCCAACCTCATGTTCTCAGGCCCTTGGTGGGGGAGGGGACAAAGGGGCCATGAGGTTCCCTGGGTCCCAGAGCAGACAAGAAGGGGCCGGTATCAGAACGCAGGATACCCTCTCCTGATGCCTGGCTCCATGCTGAGCAGGAGATGCCACCCCAGCGGAAGATGGGGCAGAGTCCTGTCTGAGAACAGAGCCACAGCAGGGGAGGAGAGGTCAGCAAATGGACGGAGAGCTGGACAGTCACTTGGGCTCAGCAGACTCAATAAATAGGTTTGTGCAGTCCTCTCATGGACCAGTGGTCAGGCTTGGAACTGGGGCCAGTGGGGCTGGGGCAGGGTCCACCGCCTGGTCCAGGTCTAAAAGCCCCCAGCCCAGAGACCAGCTCTGCCCTGGGGGCTCAGGCCTACAGGCTGTGTGGGGCCAGCTCCAGGAATGGACATATTTCTACTTAAATAAGACATTGATCCCATGGTGGGCAGGACCCCAGGGCGTGCAACAGGACCCCTGCTCAGCCCCTCTGCAGTGCAGGACCACAAGTGCTCAGTCCTGGGGGCCCTGCAGGAGCCCCAGCAGGGCCTCAGCGATGCCCACGAAGTAGACCACCTGAGCAATGCCGAAGAGCGGGGCGATGACCAGAGCACGACAGTACGCGCCCTTCAGGAAGGCCAGGGGGCCCTCATTCCGCAGAATCTTCCTGTGGGGGAGGGGAGGGTTAGAGCAGCCCTGCTGTCCCCCCACCCCACCCACACATTCCAGAGACGCCCCACACCTGGCACAGTCCAAGAAGCCAGAGTAGGTGTCCTCGTTGACCCCGCGCTGAAGGGACTGGAGACGCGTCTTCACCACTGTGGGGGTACAGGGTCAGGGCTGGCTGTGGGAGGCCCCTACCGCTCCCACCTCAGAGGGGCCCAAACTGACCATCACAGGGGTTGACAGCCACCGCAGCTGTACTGCCAGCCACACACCCAGCCAGGAAGGACACGTAGAAGGGGGACTTCTCGCCAGAGGCCGGCTGCCCCAGTTGGTTCAGGTTGGCAAAGAGTGGGAAGTAGACAATAGAAAAGGGGACATCCCTGTGGAAGGAGGGGTGTGATGGCCAGGCACCTGGGCAGAAGAGCACCCCCAGCCCCATCCCTTTTCCCACCTGAGCAGTGTGGCCCCCAGGCCTTTGTATAAGCCAGCAATGCCTCGGCTCTGCAGCAGGTCCCGGGTGAGCTGCATGGCCGTGGGGCGGGGGCCAGGGGGAGCCTCTGTCATGGGCTGGGCTGCGCCGTGAGCTGAGAGCTGAGCCTGGGCTGCCAGGAGCTTCTTCTGAGCGGCTGCAGTGAAGGGAGTGAGCTTACCGGCTTCTCTTGGGGGAGGGGATGAGGGGGTCAGCCCTTAGCCCGCCCTGATATCGGTCCCCAGCCCCCCACCTATGCGGCCCGCGTCCTGCAGCTGTATCTTCAGCATCTCCATGGGGGTGGTCACTATCACCTGGCAGGTGCCTGCCCCACAGCCAGCCAGCATCTCCTTCAGCAGCGTCAGCTTCTGCCTGCAGTGGGGTGGGGGCGGTGAGGACAGCAGGAGACCTCTGCCACCCAGGATGAGTCAGGTATGGCCTGCGCGCAGTGGGGGCCCGCGGCTACATCTGGGCACAGAAGGGTGGGAGGAGGGCAGGCAACAGAGCCCCGACTGTGGGCACCGAGCCACAGAGGCAGATGGCTGTGGGCGGGCCCCATCCCAAGATGGGCTCTTGTATGTGTCCAGGAAAGGAGAAGCTGGCCAGTCCTCCGTCTCAGCCTGCGCAGAGGGAGTGGCAACAGCGGCAGGGACGCAGGAGGATCTGCCATCAGGGAAATCGGGAAGGAGGTGGCCTGGCCAGTTCAGTCCTCCCACGGCAGCTGTGTGGGGTGCCTGCTGCCTGACCTTGTACCCCCCCCTCCCATTCCCCTGCAGACGGTGGCCCCTCACCCGTCCTTAGAGAGCTGGTGACGGAAGAAGTCGTTGGCTGCCAGCTTGATGGCCTTCTCTGGGGTGACAAGTGTCAGATTCACCGCAGCTCCTGTGGGCATGTGGGGTCAGCAGGGGGCTGAGAGGTGGCAATCGGAAGCCACGCTGGCCTAAGTGGGAGGCTCTGTCCTGCACTGGTTCCCAGGCAGCCAAGTCTTGCCCAACTGCTGCTTGGGCCCTTCTCCTGCCCTCTCACCCACATTTGGGCCCTATGTGTGCCAGGCAGGGGCGGACACCTGGGCAGTCCTGGCAGGAAGGGCCAGTGCTCACGCCTGCTGCTCAGGCCCTCTTCCCACGTTGCTCCCCTCCCCTGTAGGACCCTCCTTTTTCTGCCTCCCAGTGCCCACTCCAACAGGCCACAGGATCAGCCCCCAGCTCCCAGGGGGCACTGGGCCTGCTGATGGCCGTACAGGTCAGAGCCCCCAGGAGCCCCCAGGCTCCTAGCCTGATGATCAGTGCCTCCGACGGGCTGTGGGAGGGGACAGGGGACGAACTCCCAGCAACCCTGGAGATGCAGCACCAACTACGAAGCTTCCAAGCACGCCAGCTGCAGCCCAGGTGAGGGCAGTGAGGACTGCCGGTAACCAGAGACCCTGCTTCTTCTGCCCCCAAGGTTCAACTCTCCTCCTACGGCCAGGCTGGACTGAGGGCCCCCAGATGAAGCCACCTCGTCCCAGCCTCACCTCGGTACATGCCGAAGTAGCCCTCCGAGCGGATGGTCTTGATGAGGCAGTCAGACCTGCAGACATGGAGTGAGTAAGCAGCGGCCGAGGTCAGCCTGTGAAGCATGGTCTGGCCCACGGCTAGTACACACCCCACAGTGACTACCAGGCCTCCCTGCCCTCACTGTCCCCTTCTTTCACACAAGGAGAAAGGGGTGGGAGAACCTGAACTTTGTCCTGCCCCCACTGCTGACCAGCCCCTGCTCCCCCCCCAGAGCTGGAGAGAGAAGGGGACACTGAGACTTGTCCTGCCCCACTGCTGACCAGACCCCATCCGCACTCACATGCTTGTGTACAGGCGCTGGCCATTCTGTTGGTTCTGCAGCCGGGTCTTGGCCAAGTCAATGGGAAACACACAGGTGACTCCAATCAGCCCAGCAATGCCGCCATTGATGAGCTTGGCTGGCAGACTGTGAACAACGCAAGGTGGGGTCAGCAGTTGCAAGGCCAGTGGCAACAGGGCTCTGACCACTGAACAACCAGCCTCTCTCTATCCATTTCTCTCTATTGTTATGTACCCTGGAGCCAGACTGACCCGCAGTTGGCCTAGGAATGCCGGAGACAGGAAGGTGCTGACCTGATCTGCTTTTCAGCCATTTAAGTGGTGCTCCAACAAAGATGCAGGCAGAGGGAGGGAGGCAGCGGCAGACCTCGCTGGGCTGGGGATTTCAAGGTGTCAGCCACAACTTGGTCCTGGAGGGACAGCGGTGGGTCAGCAGGCAGGCAGATGACAGGGACAGATGACAGCGGATTAACTTCCCAGCCCCAGGCTGGAAATGTGAGCAATCCTGACTGCCTCCTGGGGGCAGGCTGTCTCCAGCACCCCTCCTCCCCTGCCCCCCACGCATCACACACTCACTCTTGCTCACGTGCACGCTGGCGAGCTCAACTCTTAAAGGGCCAGTGAGAAGGGGGTAGCAGCACCAACCAGCCGCTCCCCTCTACCCCAATGGATCTTTCAAGGTCCCCCAAATCCCTGAGGAAAGGTGGCCAGCATCAGCTCTCTGGGATGGGGGGAGATTTCCTCCACCCCAGCCTATCCTTGTGCCGCAGAGGGCAAGGCCACCTCAGAGCACAGCCCCATTCCCCAGGCAGCCTCTTCTGTGGAATTCAGTACCGCTCCCCAAGGAGAAGCACCCCACATTTAGTGACATCTACCCCAGGCCTCTAATCCCCCTCCAGGATGAGATGTGATTCACCCCCAGACAAGCAGGAAGCAGAGAGTGGACCCTGAAGCCTGAAGACGGTGTGGGCAGATGAGGGGCTCACTGGTCTCAGACCCCAGTGACCAGGACCACAGGCGCACTGAGGGGTAGGGCGAAAGGGCACGCCCAGGAGGGAGAGCTGGGTGCCAGATGCGGGAGGTGCCTCCATGGGCAGCTGCAGCCCTGGATGTTGGGGCCTCTGAGTCCTCAGACTCCGGACCCCTCCCCCTGCGGACTTGGCAGGCCAGCTGTCACCTCTCACAGCACCGCGCTGCCGCCAGGGTCACATGGCAAACCCTCATGACGCCTGGTAGAGCGCACGACCTTCGCCACCGCCCCCCGGTTCGCATCCCCGCCGCCCGCCGCGCTCACCGCTCAGCCGCCCGCTCCCTGGCTGCCCTCTCCCTGGATCCCCGCGCGGAGCAGGCGATAAAGGGAGCGCCCAGAAGCTCCGGCCGTGATTGGTCCAGGGGCGGGCGGGGCGGGCCAGGGCGACTTTCTCTTTCACTTAGGAGTCTGGGCCCGCGGAAGGGAGTGACAGCGCCTGGGCGCCGGGCATCGCCTGAGGGGGGATGCCACAGGCCACAGGGTCTGACTCAGTGAGCCACCACCAAGCAGAGGGGCCCCAGTCACCTAGTGGCCCTGTCCACAGCTCGGAAGCCCCTAGATCTATCTAGGCCCCTGGGACATAAGCAAGAGACGCATCAGGGCCTATATACTGTGTGAATGGGGAGGGTGGGAGGGTGCAAGTCAGGAAAACCCTCCGCTCCCCGCCCCCCACCCAGGGAGTCCAAGCGTAGGGCCCACTCACCTTGCTGACCACGTCTAGAGGCAGCACAAGGTTGCCACCGTCAAGTCCCTGCTCACCTGGCTGTTCCAAGGCCAGTGAACTCCCAAAGCCAGTTGCCCTTTGCTCCATCCCAGCCAGGCGGACTGACCTCTGACCCTCTCCATAGGTAACCCGCCCCGCCCCAGGTACAGCCAGGTACCAGGAGGCGGCGGCGGCCTGCAGGGTTGGGGAGGGTGAGCAAACTCCACCACTCCACATTCCTCCGGGACAGAGGTCTGCAGGGTAGACTCCACTGGCAAATGCCCAGTGTGGAGAGGGGGTGCTGACCTGGGGTGTCAGCCCTGTGTCCCAACACGGAGGCGGGGCTAGCCACCAACCGCAGTGACTGAGAGCAGAGAGAGACGCGGGCGACCACGACCCCCTCCCTGTGTTCCCAGCTCCGCTTCTCAGACAGCTGCCCGGCTCGCCCCCTGCACCCAGATGTCACCATAGAAACCCACAGCACTAGCCCAGGAGAGGCCTCACTCCACGGAAACAGGCTGCAAGCAAGCTCGACGGGCCGCAGACCGAGCACGCAGAGCCGAGCTGCTGTTTCCGGGCGCAGCGGGAAAATCTCCCCCCAATGGCCAGAGCCCCTCACCCCAGGACTAAGACAGGCGTGAGGCTGGGAGCCGGAGCGGGCTCGCCAAGGAATCTCCGCTCTCCCTCTCCCTCTGGGCTAACCTGGGGGGGGGGGCCCGCAAAAGGTTTCCTGCAGACAAAGGCGGCTTCAGGTGGGGCAGCTGGCCGCAGCGAGGTGGCTCAGGGTCCGGGCCGCTGGCGGGGGACCCGGATGGAGCCTTGGCTGGTCTCCTTCCCCCGCCAGGCGCCACGCACGTGTCCACACGTCCGACAAGGCCCCACAGTACGCCCCCAGGCCTGTCCTCAGCTTCTTGGGGACCCAGCCCTGCTCCTCCCCCTGGAGGACACGTGTAAGCAGGGAGCGCGCCCAGCGCCGCCGGGGGCGAGCACGGCCTCCCACGCCTGCAGTGGCTGTAGGTCGGAGCATCGGTGCCCGAGGGCGGCGCAGAGGCGCAGAGCCAAGGAAACCAGCACCTCCGGCCGCGCGCATGGGTGCAGGGGCCGCGCGCATGGCTGCAGGGGCCGCGCGCATGGGTGCAGGGGCCGCGCGCATGGCTGCAGGGGCCGCGCTCAGCCGGCGATTCGGCAGGAGCAGCCCAGGTACTCACCGTGCGGGCCCGGCCGCTCGCCTCCCGGTCCTGCGCCGGGCCTGCACCGAGGCGGGGAGGCGGGCTGCGCGCGCGGTGCTCCGCCCTCCGGCCCGCCGCGCCAGCGCCCTCTCCCGGCCACTGCGCACACAGCCCCGCAGCTCCTGGCTCCACACCCCAGACCTCAGCGCCGTGAGCCCGGATTACTTCCCCTGGGGATGCAGGGCAGGCGGTCAGGGCGCAGAGGCCAGGGTGTGGTGGCAGAGGCACGGGATGTGCCGTCACCACCGCGCGGTTACACACTACTGAGCTTGGGTGCTGGCGGCCAAGGCAGGAGCCAGGGCTGTGTGTCCACACAGAGACCCCTCCCAGCGGCCTCCCTCATCGCACAAACAAATGAGGCTGAGACAGAAGACGTTTTAGAGTGTTATTGTTCAGGGGGGGGATCATTTAACCCCACGGGGAGGTGGGGAGCCCTGTGGGCCTCCGACCCGGTGGGCTCTCGGGTCAGTGTGGCTGAAGGGCTAGGTGGGGCAAGGTCTGAGGGCCCCTGGGGGGCCAGGCCTGTGCGCCGGATGCCAGCCTGGTACTTCTGGCGGCCAAGCTCCAGGATGGCCTGGACCTCCTCAGCCACGTCCCGCCGGTCACTCTGCTCCAGCGCCTGCACCAGGCGCCCCACAGCACCTGGCTGTCCAGCTTGCCTCTCCGCCCAGGAGAAGAGCATGTGTCGGATCTGCCCGTCCAGGTCATCCCTGGCAAGAGGAGTGAGGCCCCATAGGAAGTTCCCTGATCCTAGGGGCAGGTGTGGCCACCTGCCCTGTGAGAACCCAGCCAGCCGCCCCAGCTGAGCAGTGGGTGGCAGCTCACCGGAACTGGTGGCGGATGGCCTGCAGCTCGCGGTAGGGCAGGCCAAGGTGCAGGGCCACAGCTGGCCAGTCCGAGCCCAGGCGCCCGGCCACGCCCAGCAGGTTGCTCTGTGTCAGGAAACCACTCTCAGCATCGCCCAAGTTCAGGGGTGCCAAGGAGAGGCTGGCCCTTGACCGCAGCCCCTCAGCCCCACGCCGTCTCTGTGGGGAGGAAGGAGTGCATGTGAGCCAGGTCCTGCCTCTGAACTCCCTACCCCACCTCTGACCCCTGAGCTCTCACCGGCAGCTTGATGGGCAGAGTGGCCATCCACAGGGTGTCTGTGACCTTTTTCTGGCGGGCAGCCTGGGCCTCCATGGGCACCTCAGTGGGCACCTCACCCCGGTAGAAGGACACCTGGGGGTGGGACAGGCAGAGTCAGTGCTCTGGCCTCTGCCTCGGGCACATAGGCGGCCCTGCCCCGTCTTGCACCTGGCCCCGCACAGCCTGAGTCTCCCGGTCCAGGGCAGTGGTCACGTACACCTCCTTCATGTTCTTCAGATGGGAGTAGAAGACGAAGCAGATCCTGCCATCCACGCAGTCTGGACGGTCTAGGGACAAGGCAGTGCTCAGTGGAGTCAGGGGGACACGGGGATGCAGGCATGGAATCCCGGGCCCCCAAGAGCAGAGGACACACCTGCATCCACATCAATGCCACGCTCAAAGGCTGCAAAGAACTTCTCGCCCTCAAACAGCTCCACAGTGTCCGAAGGCTCTGGGCCACGGTACCGGTCCAGCAGTCTCTTCAAGGTGGCGTCCACCTGTGGGGCATCCAGCTGTTGGTGCTGCCCTGGCCCCACCCTCAAGCCTCCACACCAAAGCCCCCACCTTGTTACGTGGCAGGCACTGCAGCAAGACCTGCTCAGGGTCCCGGCGTCTCTGCAGGGCGAGGAGGTTGACACGGTGCAGCCGCAGACGCTGCCAGGCCTTGCGTGCCAGGCCCTCCACACAGGTCTTGGTGGTATACCAGAGCCAGTACCTGGGAGGGGGATGGTGAATGCCTGCAAAAGCCCTGGGGATGCTGGGGAGGTGGGGAGAGGAGGTGCACTGACCAGGAGAAGTGTGTGACCTGGAAGCGGGCGTACAGGTGGGTGAGCTCCAGAGCCACCCGGGCTGTGATGTCATCCCAGGTGGCCGAGGGAGGGGCCCAGTACAGCAGGTGCAGACAGCAGCGGTCCAGACTCAGGCCTGGGTGTGGGGAATAGCAGCAGGCTGAGGTCTACTGGCAGGGCTGCGGCCTGGCTCTGCCCACAGGGCCACCTCTCACCTGTGACCCCTGGGGGAAGGGGCAGCTGCACGGTGACAGGCTGGAGAAAGTTAGGGGTGCCACTCTGCCAGAGGCACAACAAGGGACTGACAGCCACCTCAGGGTCCCCCAGCAGTCCCTGCAGCTCATGGCTGGCCATGTGTACCACCTGGAGGAAAGGTCATGTGAGTGGCCCCCAAGCTGGCCCCGGCCACCTCTGCACAGCCCTGTCCTACCTGCATTCGGACCCTACGAGGCTCCTCCGTGGCCCCAGGAGGGAATGTGACCTTGACCCCGGGGTCTGCAGAACAGCTGAGCAGTGTACCCTCTGGTGGTACCAGGCAGGTGTTGGACACAGGACGAGAAACCACGAGGAACCAGGAGAAGTGGGGCACCTGGCAGCGAGCCCAGAGTCGCTTCAGGAGTGGAGGAGGGAAGGTCAGAGGTCAGGTGGAGCTACTGGGTGAGGGAGTGGAGTGGGGGATGGTAGGGCAGGGGTCTGAGGTGTGAGGAGGGGTCAGAGAGTAACAGAGGCACAGGGTGGACTGCTTGTTGGGCAGAGACGGGCTGGAGTCCCAGGTCCGAGAGGAGTTTCTGGGGTCTAAGGAGTAGAGGTGGAGTTGGGGGGCAGGGCCTGGGGGATGAGAGGCAAGACCGGTCAGGTAGCATGAGGTCTGACCTTGGGAGTCTGCTCCAGCTGGGTGTCCAGGTCAGTCCAGCGGTCTTCACTCAGGGTCCTGACCACCACCTCCCGGCAATGACGGGCCCGGGGAGGCACAAAGAGAAGCCAGAGAACCACGTCCTGCCAGGTGGGGTGGTGAGCCTGGGGCCAGGCCGGGGGACCCATGCGCTGCCCACCCCCGATTTGACCCAACCAGCCTTGCCTGCTGGAAGGTCACCCCGTGGGGCTCCAGCTCCAGGACGCGGCTGAGCAAGGAGTCATGAGGTCCCAGGGGCGCCAGGTGGGGCTCAGGAGGCCACAGCCGGTAATGGATGGTGAGGGGGTTGTTGGTGGCCCCCGCAGGGAAGAGTAAGCGGATGCCACAGGCCAGCGTCACAGAGCAGCCCTGGGGGGGGACTGAGAAGCTGGGTGCAGAGAAGGCTGGCTTCAGGTCACAGCAGAAAGAGTCCCCTGGGGGTGGTATTCATCACAGCCAGCCCTGCCCAGTGCACACCTGTCCAGCTCTGTGCTCAGGAACAGCCTAGGCATCTCTGGAAGCAAAGGCTTCTCTGCAATAAGGAACAGGGAGCTGTGAGGACGGCAAGAGGACTGTGTCCTGCCCCTGGCCTGCCTGTCCCAGCCATTGTGCTCACCTGGGAGGCTCAGGGGGCCTGGTGGAGCTTCGCCCAGGGGGTTACCCTGCAGCCGTACGAAGGGGGCGTCCAGGAACTCTGGGGGCACTTCCCGCAGCTGATTACCCCTCAGGTCGAGCCGGTCAAGCAGGGGGAGGTGGATGAGGTCAGCAGGCAGAGAGGTCAGGAGGTTGCTATATAGGAGCAGCAGCCGCAGTGACCGCAGCCCCGCTGGGGAGGGGTGGGCACTAGCTTAGGGCTAGCAGGGCCCCTGAACACCTGCCTGGACACCCTGAATGGAGAATCTGGATTGGGCTGGGTGGTCAGGCTTCAAAAGGATACTCATTCTAGGGGGCCCCGAGAACCCAGAACTTGAGAAAAAGGTCAGGGGGCACAGGAGCCTCCAAGCCAGGGGAAGGGGCATCCTAGGGGGGTAGCCTCAGAAGCAGCAGGGGCTATAAGAGCGTTCAACCCAAGCCTCGTGTGCCAAGGCTGGGAGGAAAAGGGGTGGCATGGGGCAGGGCTGCTCACCGAGGGAGCCTGGCAGGCTCTGCAGCCTGTTGGAGGCCAGGTTGAGCTCTGTGAGGCTGCTCAGGTCTCCAATTTCTGGGGGCACCGTGTCCAGAAGATTCTCAGAAAGATCGAGGTGCCGCAGGGTGGAAAGGCCCCCCAGTGCAGTAGGCAGTGCTGCCAGACGGTTGTTGCTCGCCGCAAAGAAGGTGAGGGAGGGGAGCATCCCCAGGGTCTCAGGCAGCTCAGAGAGGCAGTTGTGGGAGAGGAGAAGGGCATCCAAGCTTCGGAGCTGGGGCACGCAAGGAGGCACGGTGCCCAGGCTGTTGAAGCTCAGATCCAGGTGGGCCAGGCCGGCCAGGCCACTGAGGCCGGTGGGTAGCGAGGTCAGGCAGCCCCGGAGGAAGGCACCCAGTTTGTCCCGGCGTTGCCCACCTAGAGAGGGAGAGGCCAAGACACGGACACCTGCAGCCCCTGAAAAGCACCCAGAGCAGGCAGTGCAGCATCCACTCTGCCCGGGGTCTGGGTAGGGCTGGGCCTGGGCTGGGGGCCAGAGCAGGAGAGTATTGTGGATGCTGGACGCTGGGACCAGGGTACACAGCTGAGTACTACAGGGGACAAAGCAGAGCAAGATCTGGGGGAGGGGTTGAAACAGGGCTGACTGAGCAGGGCGCAGGGAGTGGGGTGGGGGTGACCTGTCTCACCCTAAAGGACCAGGGAGTGGAGGGGTAAGGGATGGGGGTGACCTGTCTGTCTCACCTTTGAGGACCAGGGAGTGGAGGTTGGGTAGTCTGTCCGGCACCTGGGCCAAGGCTGTTTCCAGCAGCCAAGGGTCCTCGTGGGGGCTCAGCCGCAGGAACTGCACCTCCAGCAGCTGAGGACGCTGCTGGGCACAGAGGTACAGTAGGCGGCGGCAGCCCTCCGGGTACCGATCCAGGTTCAAGCTGTTTCCTGCCAGGAGGTGGGGCACGGTGGCCACAGCCTCCCCTGTAGCATCCTTTGCTTCTTCTGTGGCAGCAGCTGCTGCCGCGTCGGGCTCCAGCCCCTCCACCACTGCAGCCATCGCCCAGCGACCACCCTTGGGGGCTGGACATGTCCCAGCTCGCCAGCCAGACCTGCTCAGGCACGACTGAGAGGCTGTGAAGACAAGGAAGGAGCGGGCGTGGGCGGGGACTTGGCAGGGAGCATGAGTGAAGCCCGCTGGTGTCAGAACCCAGGGCTAGTCTGACTGGGCAGTCATTCTGAGGGTGCTGCACGGGTCCTATCTGGAAATGGGCATGGGACCCTCTGGCTGAGAGACCAGTTGGTTGCAGGGCCCACCCAGGGGAGGCTGGCAGGACCAGTCAAGTCACCTAGCTGACCAGTCCAGGGATTGAGTGCTAGGTCCCACCCACCCTCGTCACCCATCAGAGTCGCTGCCCTCTTGTGTTTGACTAGTAAATGAACCGGAGGGAGCTCGGGGTCAGAGGCACCGCGTGGCTTCTCGGAGCTGGGGGCGTGGGACCCTTTTAATAACCTCTGGAGGAAGGTCGCCCACAGCTTCCATGGAAAACTTCGTGCTGGGGAAGGTGGTGACCGGCGTGGCCCGACTCGGACCACCAGGTGCAAGGCCGGTCCCAGCCGAGAACCCGCTAACACCCTAACCCGAGCGCCCGGGCGAGCACAGCTGTCCGGAGAACCAAGGAGCCTGGGGATCCCCTGCACTCTCTGCAGCAAACTTGTCGCCAGCGGCCACGCATACCTGCCCGGCGCACAGCAGCCGCCAGCGGGGCCTTCGCGCTGCACCCAGTGTCCAACACCGGTTCCCGCTCGCGAGCTTCCGGGCGGCGGGTACTGGGCGCTCCGCCCCCCAGGCCCCGCCCCGCACAGCCGGGGCCGGTCAGGCCGAGGGTCGGCTGTCCTGGAAGCCCGAGGGGCCCGGCGCCAAGCCTACATCCCGCTCGCTGGGCCCGCCGTCCCGCGTGGCGCGCAGCGGGTGCGATCTCAAGCGAGGTGGGGGGCCCTGGAGGTGGTTCTGCGGCCCACCAACGCTGGAGTCCTCTCAGGCGCCTCTGAAGCCCACCAGCTGCAAAACCCGTTCCCGCTGTCCTGGGGACGCTCACGGGGGGGGGGGGGGGGAGTCCCATCCTGCGTCGTGAAGGGCAGGCCTCAGGCTGACACTACCTCACCCTGGTGACCACGGCGCTCCGACCCAGGGAGGCATTTCCTGCAGGTCTTCGCTTGCCTGGTTCTCCCAGAGGTTTTATGCTTTTAAATCGTAGTAAAACATACACCACGCTCCGTTCCAACCATCTTAAGCACTAGTTGGCGTTCTCTTAATCTTGTGCCCAATTTTCCCAGTTACTAAAAATGCCCAGGAACTTGTCTCAGCCATTCCTCCAGAGGGTTTTCAAAGGCTGCAATCGCACAGAGGCTGCCTGTGTTTCGGTGGAGCAGCTGAACCTTCTGCCTTTGAATTGACAGTGCAACTGGCCACCAGAGTTCCTTAAAGGCGGCGCTGTTGCTTTCCATCGTTGTCCAGTCAGAACCGATCCAGAGCGAGTTTGCAGAGAAAGTTAATTGTAAAGGAGACTGTCCATCCTTCTCCGCAGAGCTGGTGGATTTGAACCCCTTGCCTTTGGGATTGCCACCAGAGCTCCCTCTAAGGGGACCCGAGGAGCGTACAAATCCAATCACATGCCACTTTCCTGATGAAAACTTTTGTAATCATTTCCTTTTGTGATTGCAATAAAGCCATGTCCGCTTTCCCCAGGCATGTCCCTACCTTCTCTGCCTATGAAATGAGGGCGACCTCATCTAGTGCGTGAAGATGGGTGAGAATCTGCACTGTGGTGGGGGCCTGCCCGCTGCCCCTCGGCTGGGCCAGGTTGTATAGTGGGTTGCCCCAGATCTCCGCCTTTGTCACCCATCTTTCAGCCCAATGTCAGCTTCTAAGAGATGCGACTTTCTGTGATTTGGGGGCCCATCTGAATCCGTAAATGCCTCATCTACTATGTAATGTATCCTCATGCCCCCAACTGAAGTTCCAGAGGGAAGGCGGCCCTGGTTCCTCCGAGTCAGGACGTGCACGAGGGTACCCTGGACACGAGGTGAACCGAGCTAGCCAGGGCGGATCATAGAACTCGGGAGGCCTATCTCACACTCCGCGATGGGTGGTGCGGAAGCCTCGGGGCTTTGGCTGGCCAAGCAGGGCCGCGCTGGTCTTCGCCCCCCCGCCCCCAACCACGCACGAGAGCCCCGCAGGGGCAGCCCAGATGGGCCAGAGCCTCTGTATCCAGGCCATCCCGTTTCTCGGTCAAAGATCACTGAGTTTGGCCGGACTTGCGGCCATCAATGTGCGCTGGACCCTGAGCCTCCAGTCCCAAGACAGGACACCCGGCTGGACGGCGGGGGGACCCTCCCAGACGACACACGTGCTGGGTCCCAGCGCCAGCCACCGCCCACAGGCACTTCCGGCGGTGCTAATGTGCTTCCGGCAGCGGTGTACCACGGGGCTTGCAGTTTAACATCTACATCGCTCGCTTCCGCAAAGGGGCGGGCCCCGGCGGTCGTGTTGCATGTTGGGAGCTTTAGGCGTCCCATGACAGGCTGGGAACGCCAGTCTCGGGAGGGCGAAAACAGCCGACTCTAGCCTCGCATCTATCTGTTCCAGTATCTGTGTAACACATACCGGAGACAGCTACCCCAGGCTGTACGAGAAGAGAACGTAAGGCCTTAGCTTGCGCCGACTGTCCGGCCGGCCAGTTCCTGTCTCTTCCGTTCTCATTGGCTGAGCGCCGTGACGTCACGTCGAGGCGCGCTGGGACGCCGGGCGCCCGGAGGCTTCTGGGTAGGGCCTTAACTCCGCCCCTGCTCCGTCGCCTTCCTTTCCGTCCCTGTCGCCGCGGAGGTCGCACGTGCGAGGTCTGCCCGCCGCCACCGCCAAGTGAGTGAGTCGGCCGCCGCCTGGGGTGGGGCCGCGGGCTCCGGGATGCGGGGGTGCAGGGCCGCGGGGACGGCCTGAGCAGGGCCAGCGGCCCGGCCTCGCACGGTCTCCGTCTGCGCCCGGCGGGAGGGGCCCAAGGCCGCCGTTGACGCCGCCGCCTCGTTGCAGGATGCGTTACGTCGCCTCCTATCTCCTGGCCGCCCTTGGGGGCAATTCCTCCCCCAGCGCCAAGGACATCAAGAAGATCCTGGACAGCGTGGGCATCGAGGCCGACGACGACCGGCTCAACAAGGTAGCGCAGCCGGCCGCTGTTCTCGGCGCCGATCGGGACTTGGGGACACGTGCGGTGATTTTCCCGCGGGTGCGAGGGGGCCCCGAACGACGCAGCGGTGTCGGCAGGGTGGCGAGGAGCCAGGGCTCCTCCGCTGCGTGCGGAGAAGTGAGTCCAGCTCGTGTTCCAGCGGCCTTTCAGAGGCAGCCAGTCCCACGAGGTGGTCAAGCCATGCTGCTCCCGCAGAGCCGGCGGTGGAGCGCAGTCTCAGCACCAGGCCGGCAGAGAGAGTTTCTTTGTCTTGGTTCAGAGAATCCGTTCATTAGGCCACTGTAGTTGGAGACCTGTGTCCTCCTTTCTGTCGTGGCAGTGGTGATTGTCTGTTCTGGGTGAGCGTGCTGGGAGGCAGCCTTCCCACGGTGGCGGTCACATTTGCATTTACTGTTGACAATCTCGCTGAGACTACTTAGCAGTAAACCTAGAAGCAGGAGTCCCAGGCTGAGGGGCACAGAGCTCGGCATCAAGCCAGCTAGGGGATTTGATGTTGTGTCTTGGAAAGTCCTGTGTGTATTTTCCCATCACCCACAGCACAGCGCTCTGGTCAGTGCTGCAGGCCTAAGCGTCCAGTGGTAACTCCTGGTTTTGCTTGTCTGTTCCAGGTCATCAGTGAGCTAAGTGGGAAGAACATTGAAGACGTCATTGCCCAGGGTGAGTGTGGGGCTGCTTTGGGCTCCCCTGTCCATCTTAATTCCTGCTGGCCAGCCTGTGGCCCCCAGGTTTCGCTTGTGGACAAGAGCATTCCGGAGGCCTCAGCTGGAGTGAGCATGGGCTCAGTGGCTCCCTCATGCTGTGGGCACTCAGGGACACTCCCCAAAGCTGGATTGGGGAGAAACGTGAAGACCTTTGCCCAGGATCTCCATGGAGACAGAAGATCTTGGCTGCTGTTCTTAGCATGTGGTCCCTGTTGTCAGTTGACAGCCTTAGCAATGCAGACCAAGGGTGACCTCAGGCTGGGGCTGTGGGACATTCCTGGAAGTGGAG